TCCTGAATTTTGTCAAAGGTTTTCTCTGCATCCACTGAAATGACTAAGTAATTTTTGTCTTACTTCTATTTATGTGATGAATTACACTTATTGTTTTGTATATGTTAAACCATCCTTGCATCTCTGGGATAAAACCAACTTGACCATGATATACAATCTTCTTAATATGTTGTTGATGCAATTTGTTAAGATTTTATTAAGAATTTTTGCATCTAAGTTCATCAGGGATAGTCTTTAGTTTTCTTTCCTTGATGTGTTTTTATCTGTTTTTGGTATGAGTGTGACACTGGCTTCATAGAATGAACTTGGAAGTGTTTCATCCTTTTCTATTCCATGGGATAATTTGAGGAGCAGTGACATTAGTTATTCTTTTAAAAGTCTGGTAGAATTCAGCTGAAAATCCATCCATCTGGTCCTGGGATTTCTGTGTTGGAAGGTTATTACTGCTGATATCTCATTACTAGGTATTGGTCTGTTTAGATTATCTATGTCATTGTGGTTCAATTTTGGTAGGTCCTCTGTGTGTAGATATGTATCCATTTCTTCTAGCTTTTCCAAATCATTGAAGTATAAGTTTTCAGAATAGTCCCTCATGATCCCATGGATTCTGTGATGTCAGTGGTGATTTCTCCATTTTCACCTCTAATTTTAGTAATTTGGCTCCTCTCTCTCTTTCTTTTGGTTAGTTTGGCTAACAGCTTATCAATCTTGTATATCTTTTCAAAGAACTAACCCTTCAATTCATTGATCCCTGTTATTGCTTATTTATTCTCAATTTCATTGATTTTGGTTCTGATCTTCATTATTTCCTTCCTTCTGCTGGTTTTGGAATTGGTTTTTAAAAGTTTCTCTCACCAAATGTTTTGTGACTTTCAGTATTGGGTTTTAACAAAAGATGCGTAAATCTTTTGTTAGGTTTATTTTTATTCTTGATGGTTCTGTAAGTGATATTGTTTTTCTATTTTTRTTCCATTTCCTAATTTGCTAGTATCTAAAAACACAATTAATGTTGGTCTCAAATCCAGTTACCTCACTAAAATTACTAATTAATTCTTATAGTTTATTTAGAAACTCTTTAAAAATTTCTGTAAATAATGGTAGTTGTTAGGTTTATTTTTAAAAGTTTCTTTTTATTTTTTTAAGTTGTCAATGGACTTTATTTTATTTATTTATATGCAGTGCTGAGAATCAAACCCAGGCCTCACACATGCTAGGCAAGTACTCTGCCACTGAGCCACAACCCCAGACCTAAAAATTTCTTTTCCTCACCTATTACATGGGCTAAGATTTACAGCAAATGTTAAATGAAAGAGGTGACAGTGGACATCTTTGTCTTGTTCTCCAATTGAATGGAAAGGATTTACCATTTCATATTTAAGTATAATGTTTGCCATTAGGTTTTTTTTGTTTGTTTGTATGTTTGTATACTTAAGATTCATAAAGTTATTTTCCATAATTTTTCTGGGAGTTAAAAAATCTTGAACAGATATTGAATTTCAATTGTTGAAATTAAAGTTATCATGTTTTCCTCCTTTCTTCCTGTCAATGTGGTGACATTTTCTGATTTTTAAACGCTAAAAAATTCTTGCTTTCCTGGAATAAGTCACCCTTAGTCATGACATATTATCTCTTTTACCTGTTGCTGGATTTGAGTTGCTAATGTTTTGTTGGCATTTTTTCATCTATGTCAATGAGAGATATTGACATATATATATATATATATATATATATATATATATTTTGTAATGTCTTCATCAGTTTTTTTGCATGAGGATTATGCTGTGGTTTTATATAGCAAGTGTGTTTTGTTTCTTTATTCGTTGAAAAACTTTGAGTAAGTTTGATAATATTCTTCCTTAATTGTATGTTTTGAACAACTTGTGAGTGAAGTCACCTAGATTGATTTTTTCTCGGCAGGGAGAATCATCTTGAAATGTTTTTACTTTTGATGTTTTTATTAGAGCATTATATTGTACATAATATTGAGGTTCATTTTGACATAATCACACAAGCATGGGGTATAATTGGCTCCACTTCAGTCTCTAGTACTTTCCCTTCCCCCTCCTCCAGCCCTCTGTTCTCTTCTCTACTATACCTATCTTCCTTCTATTTATTTATAGTATTTTTAAAATTAGTGATTTATAAATATACAGAAATGTGAGATTCAGTGTGGTATATTCATATTGTACACGGCATAATTTGGTCAATTTCATTCCTCTCTTCCTGTCCTTCCTCCCTCTTTCTCAATCCCCTTCCTCTGTTTCCATAGGATGCCCCTATTTTGGTCTAGCTTCCACATATTAGAGAAAATATTTGACCCTTGGCTTTCTGAGTCTGGCTTATTTCACTTAGCATGATTTTTCCAATTCCATTTACTTATCAGAAAATACCATAATTTCATTCATCTTCATGTCGGAGTAAAACTTCATTTTATKTATCTGTTCATCTGTTGATGGGYACATGGGCTGGTTCCATAACTTGTTATCGTGAGTTGTGCTGCCGTAAACATTGATGTGCCTGTGTCACTATATTATGCTGATGTTAGTTCTTTTGGTGATCGGATGGTGGTTCCATTCCAAGTTTTTTGAGGAATCTCCATAGTGCTCTCCAGAATTTGCAGTTCCACCAAGAATGTTGAAGTGTAAATCTCCCCACACATTCTTGCCGGCATTTATTATTAGTTGTATTCTTGAGGATTGCCATTCTGACTGGAGTGAGATGAAATCTTAGTTGAAATCTTGATTTTTTTTCTATCATTGTATTTTTTTTTTCCTCAGGATGTTTGCAGTGGTCAAGAATAAGGAGATATTTTGTGATATATTTTTCAACCACTTCAAGAAAAATAAAGTGGAGATAGCAAATGCAATAACAAAGCTGTTTCCTTTCCTAGAGGGCCTCAGAGACCGATCCTTTATCACCGAACAAATCTATGCTGTAAGTGAGTTCATTACATCACCCTACAGTAACCCACTCCCACATTAATTCCTGTTTGGCTTCGTGGATTCAAAGCTTAGTATGTCACTCACTGGCTGAGATGCCTTTTATGCTTTGTGTGGGAAGACCCCTTTATCTCCATCACCTGACGAGGCAGAAGATGACAGAACAAGAAGAGGTCATTACAGACACCTCGGTTTCTAACCAAAGCTCTTTCCTGAGGCACAGGTGGGGGTGGGGATGGATGGCAATGGTGATATGACTCAATGAAATTCATAAGCAAGATTAAAATAATTAAGAGACTGGAGCTGCATTTTACTGGATTGTTCACAGGTGTTTGATAAGATACTGAGGGAATTTGTGCCATGATAAAACAGAAGCATGCCTTGCTATGGTCTCCTGCAAGGTGTTTTAATTTTGTTAGGTGATTCTGCAATCTTGGGGTTCAATAAGCTTGATCAGTGGGCCCTCCTGGAGACATGGAGGGGGAAGCCATCTCTTCCCTGTGGGACTGTGCCCTTCCCTTTGTGTTCTTCGCAGCAAGGGCAGAGCCACCTCCCCACTCCTTACAGCCCTTCCAGGACTTCTCATACCCAAGATGGGCTGTGAGTGGAGGATGGGGAGGGTCCCGTGATTGCCGTGTTGTCAACAGAATCACTACAAACCCATTCTTGGAGCGTCCTAGGCTGGATGAGAATTTGAAAGTCAAGAGACAGGGCTTACTTGTTCTTTTAAACAGGTGATCAAATATTCAAGAAGTTCTAAAATATTACATGAAAAATTAGAGTCTAGTTGCACTGAGAACRTAGAGCTTCTATGTGATGACTTCCTGTTTGACTTCAAAGCTATGATTTATAAACTTTTTCCATTGATTTTTTGAAAGGATTCTCAAGAAGCCTTTAGAAACTTGGTTCCTGTAGCCAGAGTGGTGTACCATGTTCTTGGCCACCTTGAGAAGGTGTTTGATTGGTCACTTCTACAAACCCTGTTCAGCAAAGTGAACCTGAAGGAGTACCCTGGCTTAATACAGATTTATAAAACCTTTGAAAATGGTAACGAATTCTCTCCTCTCCCTTTGGTGTCCAGCTCTACTTTTCACTCATTCACTTAACAAGTATTTATGAAAGGCTGGCTGTGTCCCAGGGCCTGCACCAGGCAGTGTGAACCTAACTAGTCTGGTGTCCTGGCCTCCCCTCATTGACCGCATTCCAGGCTCCTGGTTAAGGCATCCCGGGGCATTCCCCAGTGTAGAGGGTTCACTCCTGCTTTAGCTGCCAGAGTCCTGCCTTTGCTGCTGGGACCTGGGCCTCCCCTGTATTTCCTCCCCACATCCTCTGTTAGGTCTCTTTGGGATCTTTTCATTCTTCTTACCCAATGAAACCCAGCTCTCTCCTTCTCTAACTCCATCTTTGAAGCCATTGACCTTTTTCTTTCATCCATCTAGATCTCTCTAGGACCTTAGGCTTCTTCAGAGATCCCTGTTTCTTCCCTAAGGTTTGGACAATTCATAGGAATGTTCCGTCTGTAGRATTTTAATTGAGATAACCTTTCACTCCTTCCTGACCATCTTGTCGGTCTATCAGTTATTTATGATTTTCCACGACTTCACCATCCTTAAAAACTGAGAGGTTCATCGCCTGCAGGATTTCAGTGGTTTTGTTTCTTCCCTTGGCTGTCCAAGAGGAAGGGATACATCATTTTGAGTCTTGAGCCATAGAAATTGAGAGTTACCAAGGGTTAGGAACTCCCCACTGAAAAATAAGAATTCCAGGTGCTCCCTCCGTGTAATTGTGAGGTGATATTCCCGATCTCTTGCCTGAAAACTCTATTTTTCCCCTTTGTTCAGTGTTCCAAGAAAAATATGTTTCCCAGAGAAGTGACCTGGAAGGAAGGCAACAAACGTCCATCACTCAGCCAAGCCGTGAGCAAGGTACTTAGGACCGAGTACAAACTTGGTTTTCAGGTTGACTAAGAGGAAAAGGAGACCGGGGACTAAGCTGGGTGAGGAAGGATGGATGCTGGGGGGGAATCCAGGGGAGGTGGTGAAGGTAGATGAGTGTTGATTTAGGTTGATTCCAAAATGGCCTGACTCTGTGAGGTGGCAGAGAGACTTTCTGTCCATTAGTCTGTGGGTGGGGTGGACGGGGAATCTGATGAATGACAAGTTCAAGAGTGCCTCCGMGGGAAGCTTCCAAGGGCTCAGAGTAGGGGCCTATCAAGATCAGTGTCCAAGAGGAGCCCTCGTGATGGCAGGAGAGACTGGCATAAATGTGGCAGCTGGGCTGGGGGGCAGCTCAGGGGTGGCCTGCCTGCCTAGTGCGTGCAGGGCCCTGGTTCAACCCCCAGCACCCCCGTAGGTCAACAATGAAACAAATGAACAAGTCAATAATGAGGTGGTTGTTGTTCAAAAGCAGGAATGCTTCAGAGAAAAGCTGACCCAAAGAGAGACCCAGAGAGGAAGGGGCAGAGGTTTGGGGAGAGCAGAGGGTGCTTGAAGAGAGAGAAGCGGGAAGGAGGGGAGAAGTGAAAGGGAGAGGGAGTAAAGGGTGCACACAGGAAGGAGGTAGAGAAGCTCGCTCTGACTGAGCCCACCCGGGGCTTTTGTGGACTCTGTGCTCAGGCCGCCACTGGAGGTGTTATCACTTACTGTCCTCTGGTCCGATGAGGAAGTTGAAATCTGGAGGGACCATGGGCGGTATTTGCCTGGGGTCAGATGAGCAAGGAAGAACCCAGGCATTCTGAACCCGGAACCTGCGTTCTTAGCCCCATGCTGCTGCCCGGGTTGTCTAATGAAAAAGGCAGAAACATGAAACCAAAGTACRGGAAGAGAGGCAGACAGAAAGATAAAGGAAACAGAGGATGCCAGGAGAGGGAGGGAGTGAGGCAGACCAGTCGCTGATCCCCACTGGAGGCCACCAAGGAGGAGGCAGCCCAGTCGCTGATCCTCACTGGAGGTCACCAAGGAGGAGGCAGACCAGTCGCTGATCCTCACTGGAGGCCACCAAGGGGGAGGCAGACCAGTCGCTGATCCTCACTGGAGGCCACCAAGGAGGAGGCAGACCAGTCGCTGATCCTCACTGGAGG